CCTGGACCTAGTCTACTTGGACACGGTCTGCCTGGACCCAGTCTACCTGGACCTAGTCTACTTGGACACGGTCTGCCTGGACCCAGTCTACCTGGACCTAGTCTACTTGGATACGGTCTGCCTGGACCCAGTCTACCTGGACCCTGTCTACCAGGACCTAGTCTACTTGGACACGGTCTGCCTGGACCAGGTCTACCGGGACCCAGTCTACCTGGACACTGTCTACCTGGACACGGTTGCTTCCACCGGTTCTAAACCACTCAGCGCTCAGAACAGACATCAGACTGATGATGGTTCTGTTGGAAGATGCTCAGACTGCAGCTGTGGTTCTGGACCAATGAGCAGAACTAGAAAAGAGGAGGTCTGGTTCTATTCATGGTTCTGAAGAAAGGTCCAAACAGGAGCCGATATACCTGGACCCAGTCTGCTTGGAGACGATCTATCTGGACCCAATCTACCTGGACCCAGTCTACCTGGTCTACCTGGATGTGCTACGCCTGGACACGGTCGAACAGAGTAGGTCTGGTTCTATTCATGGCTCTGAAGAAAGGTCCAAACAGGAGCCGATATACCTGGACCCAATCTACCTGGACCCAGTCTACCTGGTCTACCTGGACCTGCTACGCCTGGACCCCGTCTACCTGGACCTGGTATGCCTGGACCCGGTCGAACAGAGGAGGTCTGGTTCTATTCATAGTTCTGAAGGAAGGTCCAAACAGGACCCGATGGCCCACCTGTTCTGTATCCCGTGTTGTTGAGGAAGACCCCGAAGGTCCGCGGCTCGTGCTGGCGTTGCCATGACAATGAGGAGCAGTTCTCGTTGTTGGTGTAGGTATTGTGGTTGTGGACATACCTGAGAGAGAGAAGCAGGTGGAGAAGTTCAGGAGGTTCTGCTATTGGAACCGTGGTTCCAGCTAGAATGGGTCTGGAGGTTCTGAGCAGAAAAAGAAAAAAATTGGTGTTCTTCTAGATATGATGGTCTGTGGAGCTGTTGCTATGGAGACATGGGCTCCATCAGGGGCCAAACAAGCCCACTGAGGGCCACAGATGGACCCGGCCAGGCTGTTTGGGACCCAGACCTCGTTTTCTGTTTGAGGACAGAGCTGCTTGATGTGGAGCCAGGCGGACCCAGCAGGAGGACGCTGCTCTGGATGGACGGCAGAGTGAGAAACAAACGGTTGCTATGACTGCATGCTTCCACCCAGAGGGTTTGAGCAGCGGTTTAAACCCCAAACACACCAAATCTGATTAGGCATCAGATCCGACAGAAGATCGAGCCTAAGAGGTGGTGGCGTTTAGCACTGATTGACTTTGAGGATGATTTCCTGCAGGGGGCATTGCTGTGTAGCTCCGTCAGACTACGCAGCAATGGTCATCCCTGAAACATGAACGGCTGGAAGTGAATATAAACAGTTTTTTTATTCAAGGTTTGTGGTGAAAACTACAGTAAGGATATAAAATCACATATTTTTGGCCTGCTGGTTTTAACATTTTCAGTTAATTTACGGATATATAAACCATTTCTCCACAGCCAGTAAAGAAAGGAGTAATAATGATCTTATCTCCGTTCATAACGATCAATCCTCCTGGACCTCCAACCTCTGGAGTTTAACCATTTATGTTTCTTCATGTATTGTAAACCAGCTGATTGCATCGACTCATTGACTCTTCAGCAATCCCTCACACTAATCATGCTTGTAGCGACAGTGGAGAGGAAAAACTCC